TTAAGTCTCTCCTTAACTTTCTCTGCTCTAAGAATAATAATCCCAGCTTCTCTAGCCTCTCCTGATAAATAAAGTCCCTCATTCCTGGTACCATCCTGATACTGTGGCATTGGCTGCATTCTCTTCTTTTGTGAAGACAGATGCAAATGATTCATTCAGTACGTCAGCCATGCCCTCTAACTCCACAAGATTTCCTCTTTGTTCCCTAATCCCTAATTGGACCCACCCTACCTTTGACTAACCTTTTATTCTTTATATGCTTATAAAATACCTTAGGTTTCCCTTTTATGTTACCCGCTAATCTTTTCTCATACAATCTCTTTGCACCTCATATTTACTTTTTCAGTTCTCCTCTGTACTTTCTATATTCTATTTGATCTTCTGTATCTTCTGTATTTTGGACCTGACATTTATGATAAGCCTCTTTTTTCTGTTTTATTTGAATCCCAATTTCCTTAGTCATCCAGGGAGGTTTGGATGCCCTACCTTTCCCCTTTGTGGGAGTGTATTTGTTCCATCCCGAACTATCTCCTCCTTGAAGGCTTCCCATTGCTCGTTAGCTGTTTTACCTGCCAATCTTTCTTTCCAGTCCAAGGCTCGACTACGGGAACTCCCTCCTCATCGGCCTTCCCAACTCTTCCCTTCACAAGCTACAGATCATCCAAAACTCTGCAGCTCATGTATTCTCACGCACCAGGCTCCGCAACCTCATCACTCCCCCCCTTGCCCGACTTCACTGGCTCCCCATTCTCCAGTGGATCGAATTGAAGATCCTCATCCTCACTTTCAAGGCCATCCATGGCCTTGCCCCCTCCTACCTCTCTGACCTGCTGACTCCCTATCAACCTACCCACTCCCTCCATTCATCAGGCTCCGGCCTGCTCCATGTCTCCCATCCAACCCGCCCTACAATCGGTGGCCAGGATTTCAGCCTCTGTGCCCCCACACTTTGGAACTCCATCCCACAGTCCCTTTGCTTCGCTTCCTCCCTTGCCTCATTCAAGGCCGATCTCAAGACCCTTTTCTTCGATCATGCCTTCAGTCACCCTCCTACCTCTCTGCCTTCCCTCACCCCTACACCATCCCTCCCCCATGCTTGGGCCCTGACACCTGACTGTTCAGCGCTTTGGAATGTCCTCCCGACATGAAAGGCGCTCTATAAATGTAATTTTGTTGTTGTTGTTTGCGAGTCTATGTTAGGATAATTGAAGACTCTATTATCACTACTCTATTGGTTTTGCATGTTTCTGAAACCTGCATCTTCTTCCCCTTCTGCACCAAATTCCCACTCTCTCCAAATTCCTTAACAGAACTTCACTCTGTTCCACCTCACTCAGTTCCCTCCTCACGCTGCTGGGCTTTCTGTTCAATACCTACTGGAGTTTAAACATCTGAAGCCACATAAAGCTACCTGCTGCTTATCTAGCCAGCGCTAATGAGCTGAGTGGGAAGAATCCCTGATCACAGTCTATCTCTCCAAGTCCTGATGATGAGCCAAGCTGCGGCAGCATAGAGACAGAAAAGTAATACATCCACAGGCTTGAATATGGGAGTCTTGCCTCATCCTTTCAGCAAATATTCAGATATACATAATACTACCTGCAAAGAGGAATGTCACTGATTTAAGGAAGGGTCTTAACTGTTTCAATGTTAGTGTTATTCAAGCTGTCCTCCTCGCACTGGTCAACAGGAATCTCTCTCAGGCACACGTGTTCCAAAGTGAAATTGCGTCTATCCACAGGAAGGATGACCTAGTGAAACTGATAACTACAAAGGGATCTCGCTGATTTCAGTGGCTCTTAAAGTGGTGCAGGTCAAGCTTGTGGCATACAAGATCTGTGTGCAAACAGGCCTCCTTTATGGATCTGAGCTCCTGGGAATGCAGCCGAGAGACTTCCTCTGACCAATCTGGAAAGACCAGGATCAAGCAGTGAGGTGGATTTGTGACAAACATGGGAAGCGGCTGCAGGGAGGGAGGGCTCCAGCCTACATTAACCTCTCACTAAACAGCCTGGAGGCTGAGTCAACTTCACAGCAGGAACGTCTATTTGCCAAGGCCGCTCGCATGAGCACCTGGATTGGGCAGCTGGTGCTGAGTAAGCCTGGTAAATGGCATTGGACTTGGAACTCAAGAACATCAAGGTGGCTGGCACATCACAAGCGGACTGCGTAAGCAATATTTTTGTGTTTCCCTTCCAGAAACAAACAATTACACAGCCTCTTTCTCACGTTGGAAGGACGTCTCAAAGCACTTGACACTGCTGTCTGGACACCTGAGCTGGGGTTGGGCACCTGATCCTCTCTGTCAGTCACTCTCTTCCCCCTCTCCCTCACATACTCTCTCTGTGCGCTCTCACTCTGCTCTCTCCCTCTCTCTTTGTCTTTCTTTCAAGTTACTCTCTCTCTCTTTCCGTCTTGATCAATCACTCTCCCCCTCTTTCTCTTTCTCAATTCCTCTCTCACATTCTCTCCCTCATACTCACACTCTTTGTTTTTCAAACACTCTCTCCCTCAATCACTCTCTTTCTCCCCCTCAATCACTCTCTCTCTATCTCTCTGAATCAGCCACGGAAAAGGATGATCTCTCTGGCAGTGGAACCAGATGATCCCCCAGTCATGTGACACACTGCAGTAACGGTCAGTGTTATTTCCACTCCTTGCGCTATATCCTTCCAAATCTTGGCTCCTGCTGTTGCATGAGAGGATATTCACCAGGAGGGAGTGGGCGGCCTGAAGTTGGAAATGATCTTGGGCCGGATGAAATCTGCCAGGTTGGATGCGGCCCACGGGCCACCTGTTGCCATGCTGTCTTAATATGTCAGTTGGGTTAACTTTTAAAATTGCAGGTGGCATTTAAACACTTCTTGTGTTTTTGGACCTTTCAGTTCCTGGAGTTGTATATAACTTGCAATGCTGTTCAGTATTCAACTCCAATACTCAGGCTCTTGAATGTTGTATTTCTCTTCATATTGAACGCAGATTTAAAAACTGGGTTTTATTTCCGATCGAGGATGGGATCTCTTTCATAGGAACTTAATTTTACAGGGCTTGTTTTGTGAGTTTGAGGGACTTTTCTGGGCTGAAACCCACAGGCCAAGGCCTTCCTGTAAATCAAAACCACTACTTAAACTCAGCTTCTCTTCACAAAACAACTAGGACAAGTGGGTTGTGCCTGTGGCCGACAGATTCACCTGAAAATACAATACAGTATTTTCTTTATAATGGAGGCTTTTCATCTCCTAACACCACATAATATGAATTGTATTATAATAATGTTATAATATAACAATTCTTGCAATTGATAGAGAGCCTTATCATGTTGTTGATACATCTAAAAGCACTTCACAGAATATATTGTAAAGTGGATTGATTGAGTTTTGTGGCGAAACATATTGACATCCAGAGCAATAAAACCAGATGGACAATATATTCATAAGAATTTTTATTTACACTAAAAGATAACATAAAACTTATGTTTATACAGCGGCCATTATGCAAGTAGAATCACGGAGCACTTAAATAGCGGTAATTTTAAGTCTGAGCCAGAAGAGTAGGGAGGTGACCGAAGGCATGGTTGAAGAGAAAAGTCTTCAGGTGTAATTTGAAGACAGGCAGAGAGAGAGGGCGAGACAGACGGATTGAGGATATGTGTTCCAGAGATTCAGTGCATAGTGGCTGAAAGCACGGCCGCCAACAGTGGGAGCAGAGGGACGAGGAACTTGCAGCAGACCTGGGCTAGCCGGTAGTAGTTCGGAGAGGTAGGGATGTGCCAGAGTATGAAGAGATTTGAAAGTGACAGTGAATATCTTGAAATGGATCCATTTTGTAACAGGGAACAAATAGAAGCTGGCAGGATTGGGGTGATGGGAGGGCGGAGCCTAGTGCGGGTGAGGACACAGGCGGCAGAGTTTTGAATCACTTGGATCTTGTCAATAATAATAATCCTTGCATTTGATATAGTGCTTTTCACATCTTTTCAACGTCTCAAAGCAAGTGAATTGACCGTATATTTGTGGGCAAAACACAGCAGCCAATTGCGCACAGCAGTGCCCCACAAACAGTCGGGGATTGAAAATGACTAATTTATTATTGTTTTGTTTTTTGGAGGGATTATTATTAGACATCTGGAATAAGGAAACTTGTCCAAGGTTTCGCCCTGCCTGGAATTGAACCCAGGTGTCTCGCTTGCAAGGCGAGTGCTCTAATCACTGAGCACAGGACTCCAATCCTGGAGCTGGGGAGACCAATGAGAAATGCATTGGAAAAATCAAGGTAGGCGGTGAGAAAAGCATGCATGAGTGTTTTAGCAGCATTTGAAGTATGATGGGGCAAAGGCAAATGTTGTGGCAGAGGAGGAGGAAGGCAGTCAGGATGTGGGACAGGAATGCTAAATGGGGCTCGAACCTGGCACTGAGGTTGGGTGAATCTGAATTACTGGCAAGGAAAGTTAAGGAGTTCAGATCCACAGGTGACAAGCAGACAGTCAAAACATTGGTAGAAATAGAGAAGGAAAGATAAATTTGGGTATCATCTGCATACATGTGCAAGTTGACCCCATGTCTGGGGATGATATCACCAAAGTAGAGTATGTAAATGAGAAAAAGGAGGGGGCGAGAATAGAGCTTTGCGGGGTGGGCGGAGAAACCAATAAGAGATCCAGGAGGACAAGCAGGTGGAGGGAGCTCTGGTCACAGAGAAGTAATTTGTAACATTGACAAGCGTTATGTGAGTGCTGCAAGCAAAGCAGAAACAGTACTGGAGGGGCTCAAGGGAGGAGGAGGAAAGTTGTGAGAGAAATTGGGTGGCCACACTGTGTTCCAGGACTTTAGAAAGGAAGGGCAGGTTTGAGGGGGAGGGGGCTGGTAGGGGTTTTTTGAATGAAAGAGAGGGATGGTGTAATAATAATAATTCTTGCATTTGATATAGTGCCTTATATTCTTGAGATGTCTCAAATTGCTTCACAAAATATACTGCAAAGTGAATTGACTACATTTTTGTGGGAGGTGCTCAAAGGAAGGGAAGGAGCCTGAGGAATGGGGGGGATAAAGAGGTTTGGGAGACGAGAGCCACTCTGTCGTTGTGTTGGTCAGGGTGGGGTTGTGATGGAAAATGTAACCAGGTGGGGAGACTTTAATGAGGGGGAGGAGATCACCGTGACCCCAAGCAGATTGATGCGCTCATTCAGAGGTTGTGGATGGTGAGAGATTTCTCTGTCCAAAATGGATGTTTGAACAGTGTGAACAGGGGCATTAGTGGGGGAAGGGACAGTGGGAGGGGATTAGGGTGGTGGTTTCTGGGGGGATGGCAACTGTGGAGTAGGGGGGAGGAAGAGAGTTGGGAAGGGTTGGACGTGAATGAGGGAAGAGGGGTTAACTTCTGGAGGTGGGGAAGGTGGGATTTGCGGAGAGAAAACATTGAGGCGAGAAGCAAAGTGATCAGCGGAGGGGAGGGAACTGTTGAGATAAGTGATCACAAGAGAGAAAACCTGATAAAAAAAGAATGTTTGGAAAAATAGGAATGACAAAATCGAGTGAGGTTTAACTACTATTAAGCAGCACCATATTTATTTTCAAATAACTACAGTAATGTTAGCTTTCAGGCCTGAAAATCAGAAAGCCACAACTCTTCAGAAAACAGATGGGAGAGTTTCCTGGAAGTCCAAGTTTAAAACTCATCATTGAAAGGATAATCCTTGTGCTGAACACCCCTAAAAAACAGAACAGTCAGACAGAAAGTAAGTGAAGGAGGGAGGGAGGGGAGGAAGGAAGGAAGAAGAGTTAGCTGTGAACTTTGTGAAGGTGTGTAAGTTTCAGCTACTCATGATTGGCTCAAAAGAATAAATGCACAACCTCCAAGAGCAGCAAGGGTCCAGGTTTTGATCTCTGTCAGGCTAGATGCTCTGAGTTAGCACGTACAGGCAAGATAATAATAAATATAATAATCCTTACATTTGATAAATCCTTACATTTATCACATTGGGAGGATGTATCAAAACACTTCGCAGGAATTACTGTCAGTGAGTGACTGTTTTAGTGGGCAGCCAGTTAGCACACAACAATGTCCCACAAACAGCGTTAGAGCGAATGACCGGTTTTATCTGGGGGATTGTTGGCCAGGACAGCAGGAGAGAGAAACTCCTTTTTTTCTCCCCAATATCGACACAGAATCTTTAACATCCACCTGATCATGAACAAATGGGACCTCGGTTTAATGTTTCACGTGAAGGACGGCACCTCTGACAAAACCACATACCCCAGCACTACACTGGAGCGTCATCTTTGAGCAGCATGGTCCAGCAGGCGGCATGCAGATTGATAGGTGATTTTATTCGGCAGGAGACTATTTCCAACATTCAAAATTCCGGTCCATCCCTCCCTCCCTGGTGAACGTCCTCCCAGGACAGTGGCAGGAGCCCATGGTTGGGAAGATGCAGTACGGTTAGTGCAAATAATACCATCCATTACTGCAGTCTATCAGGGAGGCAAGCGCGTCTCTTAGTCCTGCCGCTGACCCTAACCCAAGCTAATGAAGTTGGTAGTTTGCGAAGCTGAACAAGGTAGGTTACAGGAGGATTTGAACATACTTGGGAATTAGGCAGATCGGTGACAGATGAAATTCAATGTGGAGAAATGTAAAGTACTTCACATGGGGACAAAAAATCCTGGAAGGGACTATTATTTGTGTGGAGTCCTGTAGCTCAGTGGTTAGAGCACTCGCTTTGCAAGTGAGAGACCTGAGTTCAATTCCAGGCAGAGGGCGAAACCTTGGGCAAGTTTCCTCACTCCACACACCTAATAATAATCCCTCCAAAACCAAAAACAATAATAAATAGGTCATTTTCGATCTACGACTGTTTGTGGGACATTGCTGTGCGCAATTGGCTGCCGCGTTCGCCCACAAATATAGTCAATTCACTTTACAGTGTGTTCTGTGAAGCGATTTGGGACGTCCTCCCAACGTGAAAAGTGCTATATCAAATGCAAGGATTATTATTATTATTATTATTTGAACGGAAGGAAAATAATATGTATGGAAAATGAAAAGGACCTGGGGGCCCTGATTGGCAGTAAATTGAAGCTCTCCCAACAATGCTCTGTCAGTGAGTGAAGCAAACCAGATGTTGGGATGTATCGAAAGATCAAATAGCAAGCCAAAATAGTGGGGTGATCTTGCCACCGTATAAATCATTGGTGAGACCATACTTAGAATACTGTGTACAGTTCAGGTTGCGGCAGTACAAAAAGGATATTGGAGAAATCAAGAAGATACAGAGGAAAGCAACCAAAATGATTGAGGGACTGGAACTGGACTATGAGGAGCAACTAAATAAATTGGGCTTGTTCACCCTGGAAAAGAGAAGATTGAGAGGCGACATGATTGCTGTCTTTAAGATTCTAAAGGGGCAAGACAATATACATCATGACAGGCTGGTTCAACTTGTCCAGAATAGTAGAACCAGAGGACACGGCCTGCGGTTGAAGGGTAGTAAATTCAGAACAAATCTACGCAAACACTATTTCCGTGAGTGAATAGTGAACCTGTGGAACAGGCTCCCTAAGGAGATGGTTGAAGCAGCAAATGTTGATTCTTTCAAACACAGATTAGATAGCTTTCTTTTAGGAAATTACATTATGGGATATAGTACATAGGTAGTTTGGGACATATGTGCATGCGACTGCCAGGAAGGTGGAAGGCGAACTAGATGGCGAATGTTTTTTTGTCTAGCATTTATTATGTTCTTATGTAATGAAGCAACAAGCAAAAAAAAGGGTAGTTCAGACATAAGGATGTTGATCAAGAGAACATGTTATAATAATCCTTGCATTTGATATAGTGCCTCATCATGTCTTCGAGACATCTCAAAGCACTCACAGAATATACTGTAAAGTGGATTGACTATATTTGAGGAGAGGTGTTTATTGTGTTTTTAGAGATTCATAGTGTTGGAATACTCCTTTAAGAGTAAATGGACAATTAACAAAGAGTCAATAAGAAGAAAGGAGCAAGTATAAAAGGACACTGGGAGTGGGAAACAGTGTGTGGTTATAGAGTGGTGATTCTTGAGGGTTTGGGATTGACAAATAAGAAGCTACTAACATGCCATTGATTGGGATTGAGTTATATTACACACAGCAGGTACAGCTCAGAAACAGGCCATTCGGCCCATCAAGTACAGTCGGTATTCATACTCCATGTGACTGCCTATTCTAGATCCCATCCTTTGTTCCATATCCCAGCTTTCATTCAATTGTCTCATCTTCTCTCTTAACCATGTGTCCAGTGTGGTTTACAATGTGCATGTGATTACCACCTCAACCACTGATTGTGGATTTCTACACTCTGGGTGAAAACATTGTTCCTAATCTCTGTCTGCATCTCCCAGTTCTGATTCTAACACAGCGCCCTCTAGTTCTAGATCTCCTGACCTGGAGAAATAACCTCTCCCTGTCCACCCTATCTAAACCTCCCATAATCATATATACCTCTATCTTACCTCTTTCAGCTTCTGAGCTCCAAAGAAAAAAGCCCCAGTTTAACAAGTCTTTCCCTGTATCTACAGTTCCTCATTCCAGACAACATCCTGGTAAGTCTTCTCTGCAACACCTCCATCGCCTTTATATCTTTCCTATAATGAGGACAGTATTCTAATGTGGGTTGATCATGGGTTTGTACAGATTCAACATGACCTCTCTATCCTTGTACTCTCCATTGGCCATTTTAATGGCCTTATCACTGGTTCATTGCTTGAGAGTCCTATGAATCTGCACTCCTACATCCCTCTGTTCATTTACCCCTTTAAGTTATACGTTCTTCCTCTGCAGGGTTTTTCATCATCAAATGAACTAACTCACCCTTTTTTCATTGAATTCCATCTCCCACTTGTCTGCCTATTTAGCCATCCTATCAATATCTCTCAGTCCACTAATACCCTGGCTAGCGGTCCAGGCAGCCAGAATTTCCGGGTAAGTGTTATTATAATGCCGGGACCAGCATTTGCCAGCTTTTTTAGTGCTGAAAAATGCCAATACTGGCACTGTAATTGTTTGAATCCTGCAAGCTGAATCTGCTCACAGGATTCAATCTGAGTTATAGTCGATATCCCTGCTTAGCCACTGAAGGCAGCAAGGACAGTGAGGTGGGGGAACACGCTGAGAGAGTGGGCCAGCGGGAATCTACACCCTCACAGACCTACAATTTTTTTTAAAAAAATCAGTTTCGGGCCCGATAGGCCCAAATCCAGAACAGTTTGATCCTCCTCAGTATCTACTATTTCTCCTACCTTGTATCATCCGCAAACTTTCAGATTTCTCCCTCTATTTATAGGTCCAAATGATTGATATACAGGGTGAAAAGTAGTGGCCCCAGAACAGATGCCTGAGGAACACCACTCATCACATCTATTTAACTGAGTAACTGCCTCTAACCGCTACTCTTTCACCACCCTCCTCCCCGTCATCATGCTCAGCCACTGTCAAGCGCGCTGGGACGCTACCCTGCATGAGGGGCTTTATATAAATGCAAGTTGTTGTTCTTTGTTTTCTCCCCTGAAGCCACTTCTCTACTTCAAAAATTGGAGTAGATTGTGCGATTGTGTAGTTTAAAACATGCAGAGAGCCATCCTGTTTTATCTGGTTAGTTGGTTCATTGGTGAACAACTGCTGGCCAAAAGATCTAGGTCAGATCAGATCAAGAAGATCAAGAATGCTATTTAAATTCATATTGTCGTCTTGTAAAATTGATAATCCTTATATTTGATTTAGCGCCTTTTACATAGGGAGGACATCTCAAAGCGCCTCACATTGTATAATCTGAAGTGTTAATGTTAGGTTAGTGTTAGGTTAGTGGCTGTGCATTTTTCTAAGAGAACACGCAATGTCCCACAAATGGCTGTGAAGTGAGTTACTATCAACACCTTTCATTATCTGATAGAATTCAAACAAATTTTTAACCCCCTCTGATCTGAGGACACTCTTTCTGTCGGTAGCACTCTTGCCTTCATGAGTCAAAAGGTTGTGGATTCAAGCACCATATCAGGACTCTAAAATTAGTCCAGGATGACACTCCAATGTAGTACTAGGAGAGCGTGGCATTGTCAATGGTGCCATCCTTTGGAAGATATATTAGACTGAGATCCCGTTAGCCTGTTCAGTTGGATGTTAAAGATCCTAAGGCACCATTGGAAAAGAGAAGGGAGTTTCTCCCGGTATCCTGGCCAACAATAAATAAAATGGTCATTCATTTTTTGACTGTTCGTGGGATATTGTATGGAAATTGCCTGCTGCTTCAATGGATGGAGACTCGCATGGAGTATAAATACCGTCACGGACTGGTTGGGCCGAGTAGCCTGTTTCTGTACTGTAATTCTTTGTAAATGTGATTCATATTCAAGAAAGAATAGAATACACAAATCAGGAAGTTACGATGAACCTTTATAAAACACTGGTTAGGCCTCAGCTAGAGTACTGTGTTCAGTTCTGGGCACCACACTTTTGGAAGGATTTCAAGGCATTGAAGAAGGAGATTTACCAGGATAGTACCAAAAATGAGGGAATAATATGTCCAGTTATCAGGAGAGACTAGAGAAGCTAGGATTATTCTCCTTGGAGCAGAGAAGGTTAAAAGGAGACTTAATGGAAGTTTTCAAAATTATGAGGGGATTCAATAGGGTGAACAAGGAGAAACTATTTCCACTGGCGGGTGGGTTGGTAACCCGAGGACACCAATTTAAAATAGTTGTTAAAAGCAACAGAGTGGAGGTGAGGAGGAATTTTTTCATACAGCGAGTTGTTCGGATCCGGAATGCATTGCCTGAAAGGGTGGTGGAAACTGATTCGATAACAACTTTTAAGAGAGAAGTAGATAACTATTTGGGGAGGACAAGTTTGCAGGGGGAGTGGGATTGATTTGGATAGATATTTTCAAAGAGCCAGCACAGATAAGATGGGTCAGATGGCTTCCTCTGTGCTGTATAATTGTATGATTCTATGAAAGAGTGGAATTTCCTTCAGTGAGAGTGCACCATCTTTCTACCTTAGCACAAGCTTACTTGGCAAAAGGATCAACCTAAAAAGCGCCACTTCTTTAGAAAAAATCAGACGGGTGGGGAATAAGCATGAAGCACATTGTACCATTGACATCCTTCTGATAAGCAACAACAAATTGACATTTATGATGGTGTCTTTCAAACCGGGGACTGTGTCAATGCACTTCACAGAAAGCACTACACCTTCTAAATATTCCCTTATTAAAATAATGAACAACTTATGAAGATGCTAAGAAAACTCACCATTGCATTGGGCAGAATCGAAAGTTCCTATTGAAGCCGAGGATAGTATTCATGTTTTCTTCGGTCAACTCAAAATCGAACACCTACAACAACAAGTGCTGATATCAAACTCAAAGCCGGCACCCACACCAGATTGCCTGCCACCTGTAGTTAAATGCCCAATTGTTTCTTCATAATGAAATACGTTTCTTGTTTCATTTTGCAAAAACTAAGAGTTCTAACTTACTAACTTGGCAGTCCTGGCACGAAATGCAATACAACATACATTTTTATAGTGTCTTTCCCATCAGGAAAACGTCTCAGATGCTGCTAGCTCAGTATTCAAGATGGGAAAATATGACCGAAAAGAGGTATGTCTTGAGGTGGGCGTTGAATGTGGGAGAAACTCTGGGACAGAATTCCTCAGAGAGCGGGGACAGCGGCTGAAAGCTCACCCACCAATGGTGGGACGGATAGGCCAGTGGTGAAGGAAGTCAGTGAGTAAGGAAGCGGCTGGGTTGGGAGGGTTATAGGAGGTTGGAAAACTAGGGTGGTGTGAGGCCATGGAGGGATACAAAGGTGAGAACTAATATCTTGAATCAGAGTGCACCAATGTACATTCCGATATTAATCCACAAGAATCAGTTCCTGTAACAGAACTGTTTTCCACTTATTGCTATTTTTTCTTACAAATCATTGTGCACTGATATGCTCAGTTTTAAGCTAAGCCTTTCATGCAGTACTCTCTCCTGAGAGAAAAAGTTCTCTTGTTTGTCTTGTATTGACTGTTGAGAACTAATGATTACCATTGTTGGCTTGGAATCCTTGGAAGGTTAACATGAAAATAACTTGCTGTAAAATAACTAATTGAGTTCATGCTTGTCAAATTCACTTCAGAATATAAGAATTTTCAACACAGGAATATTGTGACCAGTTTTGGTTACCACACTTCAGGAAAGATAGCAATAAAGAGGGTGCTAAGTAGGTTTACTAGGGTGATACCAGGAATCCATCGTTTGGCCTATGAGCAGAAACTGGAAGAACCGGGACCTTTTCAGTTGGAACAATGGTTGAAAGGTAACCTGATTGAGGTCTTTTAATAAAATTATGAGAGGTTTTGAGAGTTAAATTACTTCCGTTGGTGAGGGAGTCAGTAACTAAAGGAAATTAATTTAAGACGATCAGTAAACGAGCAAATGGGGCGGTTAAAAGAAATGTTTACAGACACAAAGTGGTTCGGATATGGGAATGCCCTGCTCAGAGGAGTGGTTAAGAGAAAATCCATATTCACCTCAAAGAGGACTTGATGGGACCACTGTTAATCTAGCTCTCAGTGAGAGCCCTCTGTTTATTTTCTACCTTTTCTTCCCCAAATCATTTTAAAATGGAATCACAGAATTTCCCAGCATTGCAGAAATGGTAACGGAGACCTCACTACTTGCTATCTGAAGAAACACATTTAAAAACTATGTTTAGTTTTGATAGTCCATTGAATTCATTGAACAAGGATAGACAGAAGGAGTCAACTTCAGACTTTATTCATCCTGTAGATTTTCACATCTTTCGTATCTTGCATTACAAAATAACGTAGCTCCCAGTTGCTAATTGGTAAATCAATGTATTTAACCAGGATTCTCAACCAAATAGATTGTCGTATTTCTAATTATTATTTAAGTAGCTTCTCTTTTCTCTCACACGCACACATTAGTTTCACATACCTTGAAGTTTTCCTCAATGCGCTTTGGGGTGATAGATTTTGGAATCACAATCAGATTGCGCTGGATTTGGAAACGGATCAGAATCTGAGTCAAAAATGAAAAGGAAAATGAGTAGTAATAATTACCAGAAACCATACAGAATCTTCCATGTATGGCTGGAGAAGGCACTACACAGCATGAGCTGATCTGATCTATTATTAGTGCCCTGATCGGCTTACAAGGTTCAGACATGTTGAGTGCTGAGTTAACTTACACCTCTCAGTCTCTTTGAGCTTTTCCTTTGGCAAATTCGATCCCATCAGTGCAGTACATATGCTTCTTTTATTCCTTGTATTTATTAATATTGAACTTTATTTGCTGGTGATCAACCCATATGCACCTATGAAGTATTCTGGGTGAATTGTTCTTGACATAAGAATAATGCATCATGGTAATGTATATCTTTTTAAAAGTCCTTTGACAATTGTACTTTTCTATAACTTTGAGATGAAACACATACTGTCATTCCTCTGTCTTTGGACCTCACTGTGCCTAGTACTGATGACCTTGCAGTCAAGATTGAAGAAAACTGAGCTCTCTTATCTCAAATTCTTGGTTTTACTGATCCGCTCAAGCAGAGAGTGTTTTAATGAGATGGTCCATTTTAGATGAAAAGTAAGAGGAATGTGGTGTATTGTAACATAATTGGAAAGTAATAATTGATTGGAGGAGTACAACAACAACAAGATTACATTTGTACAGCGCCTTTCACATTGGGAGGGAGACCCAAGGCACTGGACAGTGTACAGCATTTCAGACCCGAGCTGGGGTCGGAGGGAGAAGGGAGGGGAGGGGAAGGGGGGTAACCAATGGCATGGTCGAAGAGCAGGGTTTTGAGGCGGGACCTGAAGGAGGCTGAGGAGGGGGCGAGGCGGAGTGATTGGGGCATGGAGCTCCAGAGGTTGGGGGCAGAGTGGCTGAAGGCTCTCCCGCCAATGGTGGGTAGGTCGGGGGATGTGGAGCAGGCCGGAGCCGGCTGAATGGAGGGAGCAGGCGGGGTTGGTAGGGGGTTAGGAGGTCACAGAGATAGGGTGGGGCGAGACCACTGAGGGCTTTGTAGGTGAGAACCAGGATTTTGAACTGGATCTTCTGAAGGAAAAAAACTCCTAATTTCAGTGATTTCATGGTTTCACAATTTCATTGAAAATTTCTGGGATTTCGTGAAATCCCTAGTTTCACAACTTTACGGTAACATGTATATTTCTGCATGTGCACTGGCTATATTTGTTTTTTTGGTTGTTGATTATATTTTTGGTTGTTGAAGGGGCGCATGTATTTTTGAACTTGATTATCTTGGTGTTCGAAATTTTAAATTATAAACAGTTAAACTTCAAGGAATTTATTTAAAGTAAATGCATATAAGATTAACCCACTTGCAGTCCACACCTGGCACTGTACATGCTTGGCTGCCTCCTCTGATTCCATGCTCAATTTTGCTTTGAGGTATAAATCCAGTTGGCCATGACGGCCACCCAAAATAAATCACCAATTTAAACGATCAGAGGCTTGGCATGAGAATCAGCACTATCAGAGTAGCAGCCAATGCTGATACTCCAAAATCTGGACAGCACAAGGGAAAAACCATTCTATACAATTATTTTTAAAACAACAACAACAAAATTACATTTATAGAGTGCCTTTCATGTTGGGAGAATGTCCCAAAGCGCTGGAGTGAAGAAAAACATAAGTGAAGAAAATTCATCTAGGTCTAAAGTTACCCCATGTAACAATTCAGTATACCCAGAATTTGTTGAATTTAGTCTGAATTTCGAAGCCAAATTTCTGTTATAATAATAATAATCCATATAGCCTTTCCCATCAAAACCTCCCAAAGCACTTCACTGGATTTACTATAAAGTGCACTGACTGTATATTTGTAAGTAAAGGCAGCGGCCAATTTGCGCACAGCAATGTCCCATAAACAACCATGAAGCCTGCTCCATGTCTCCCGTCTGACCCGCCCTATCATTGTTGGCCAGATTTTCAACCTCTCTGCCCCCACACTCTGGAACTCCATCCCACATTCCTTTTGCTTCGCTTCCTCCCTTGCCTCCTTCAAAGGCCGGTCTCAAGACCCTTCTCTTCAACCGTGCCTTTGGTCGCCCTCCCACCTCTCTGCCTTTCCTTACCCCTACACCACCGCTCTCCCATGCTCGGACCCCGACACCTGACTGTTCAGCGCTTTGGGACGTCCTCCCGACGTGAAAGGCGCTCTATAAATGTAATGTTGTTGTTGTTAGAGATTTAAAATGAAAGACTGTCTATTCAAATTAATATGCAATATGTGAAAATACTTTGAAAATTAGGGGAGGAAACTGAAATGCTATAAATTAATGGAAGAATTGGGAATTAGTGACAGATCTGCAAAGTAAAGCTCAAGCAGTTTGTACCCATCATGCAATCCAAACTAAGATCACCCTAACATATGCTGGAGTTACACTGACAAGTTCTATTTTAGTCATTGTATGTTGTCAGCAGCTCGGTGTCTAAAACCTAATGGTGATATGCAACATTGGTTTAGAATCCAAATAGTTTATCTAAACACTAATTAGCAAAGCAGAATAGACTCAGACTATACTAAACAAACATCTATTCAGTGGCTGATTTTGGGTAGTAAGCAATACAAGCAGTTACTGCAATCTAAGCAGTTACTTGTTAAATCCCTCTGATCCAGTACAGGCTTTGCTGTACTGGATGAGAGGAATTTAACAAAGGAAGGATCTTACTTGAGCTGCTGTTTTGCAGTGTTGTTTTGCAATTCTCTTGATCTTGGGATCTTCCAGGAGGGAGGGATCTTCTGGGCTGGCCCTAAAGAAATGCAGGAAACTGAAAATTTGCACTTGACAAATGTAATATTTAGTGCTCTATTTTGCAGGAGTAAATTTAGATTCCCTTCTTCCCTTTCGCAAGTTTCCCACCTCCTATCTCATACACCTTCCTGGCTGCAGAACAGGCTCGACGGGCTGAATGGCCTACTCGTTTTCCTATGTTCCTATGAGCACCTATTTCCAGGTACTTTCACCTATTTCCAGGTACTGGATAACTCAGCATTCTCCAACCTGCGCTTATATTCTATTAAAGTGGGATTTCCTGTTATAAGCATGGAATGTAAAGTTTGCTTAAAGGTGACAAAAATCAGTCAAGAGTAATGCTGCTTATTTTCCTGGCACATATCCTCTAATATGCCTCTAGCAAAGGCAAGTCTGGTTCCTTAAAATTCACCTGAATTCATGATGCATAATTATAGAGAATTCTAATTCATGATGCAAAAAAGGCCCTGTTTTCTATATTCATCCATATAAACAAGCCATAGCCACCAGTAATCCTGGTGCAACATTTTACAGCCAAATTTCTAAAGGAAACCTTCTCTGCTCTTTACATTTGAATTGTATTTAGCACGTTATCAAGTCAACATATTTTGAAGGAGATGGTTTGAATCATTCTAACATGTGTAGCCAAACGACAGCTATTCTGTACCAGCAACATTCTACAACCCTAAATGAGATGGATGACCAGATATAATCCCTTTCATTTGTGCATTTAGATTCAGGGAGTTATGTGGCCAGGTCACTGGGAGAACTCCTTACTCTTCTGTGAAATAGTGTTGCAGGTTCCTTAAAATTCACCTGAATTCATGCTACAAGAACAGGCTGAAGGGACCTTGTCTTAATGTCTTACTCAAAGAATGGGATCAATTCAATTGAGCAAGTGATTTAACCCTAACCCGAACCCTCAGGACTAAACCAGAGTCTCATCTTGGATGGTAAGAAATGAATGAAAGCTTACTGAGAAGCTTCTGAGAAGTAATCACCGACAGCAATTAATGAATAACAACTGGCTAAGCACTGGGTGTCCCACTTTCAGTGGTGTTACTGTGCACTGCACATCTGTACTAGCTCATAGCTTATAGTTAAATAATGTAGGATTTAGCCAAATAAAATATTTCTACAAATTAATATTCCTTCACACCTAAAGGATACTGTTTCAATCAGATGTCAGCCTGGCTCGATTACACTTACAAATTTATATTTATATTGTGCCTTTCATATCGGGAGGATGTCTCAGAGAGCTTTGCAGGATTTACTGTGTTTTGTGGGAGGTTGGTAGAACTCTCTCCTATGAGTCAGATCGTTGCGTGTTCAAGGACTTTGGGCTCACAGTCCAGGCTGACAATCCTATACTTGGAGTGCACTGCATTGTCAAAATGGCGTCTTTCAGATGAGACATTAAATTACGGTACTATCTGCCATTTATTCAGGTAGATGTTAAAGGTTCCATGGCATTATTGAAAGAGAGATGGGAGTTTCTTCCTAGTCTGACTGTTTGTGGGGCATTGTAATGTGCGTATTGGCAGAACAGTTACTAAACTTTACAGTACATCCCCTGAAGCACTTTGAGGCGTCTTCCTGATATGAAAATGCAATATCGAAAGCAAGGATTATTATTATGGATGATACTGTTTCTGGGTTCACCTATGAAGCACTAGACCAGGGGTGGGCAAAAGACGGCCCGCGGGCCATATCCGGCCCGCCAAATGATTCTATCCGGCCCGTCATTGTGTCTTAACAATAGAAAAAATTATAGTTCGTTCAGTCCCAGAAAGTTGCACAAATTTTGCATTTGAATCTGACACTGCTTAGTTATGCGCACGCTCCCTTAAGTGTTGAATCAGGCTGACGTCAGAAATGTACGGATCTGCAAATTTTCAAACACGTGCGCGGGGCAACTGCGGCAATACTTTTCACTGAAGAGGACGTTAATTCGAAATGAGTTTATCAAAGAAGCGGAAAGTGGACGCTGAAGTCTGAATATTCAACAAAGAATGGACTTCTAAATACGTTTTTTAAACCAGTGTGGGTGGAAAATGAAACAAATAAAATGAATAAAATAAAAATAAATTAAAAAATAAAATGAAGAAAGAAAATAAAACCAGTATGCAGTTACAAAATAAAGTAAGCAATTTGGCATGTTTTTCACTGGCACTCGTTGAGAGATGTGATGTGGTGTGTGGGGCAGAGGGTGGAACATGTGTGGCGGCAGTGTGTGGGATGTGTGGGAGCAGAGGGTGAGTTGTGTGGTGGTTTGTGGTGGCAGAGGGTGAAGTGTGTGGGGGTGAGGTGTGAGGGAGTGGCGTGTGTGGGGGAAGAGGGTGAGGTATGTGGGGGTGCGTGTGGGGGGAGGTGGTGTTTGTGGGTGGGATTTGTGTGTGGGCAGAGGATGGGGTGTGTGGGTGCTGGGGAAAACCCGGCTGATCTCCTCACTGATTCACTATGACTGTGATTCTGTGACTCAGATCTTTGACTTCTCTCTGACGGATGAGGAGATGAAAGCAATTGACGAGCTGAACAAGAACGTCCGTTACGTGGAGCTGCTGATGTGAGTCTCTGTCCTACAGCCCTCTGACATCACGGCTGTGCTAACTCACAAATCCTCACACTAACATTCATCCGTGTCATGGCTTCACACATTCCTGGTTTTCTGTCTGGATTTTCCCAGCGTAAGCATTTTAAAGTTTGTTAAAGTTTGTGGTAGCTTAATGTCTGACAATCCGCTGCCTGATTCTGGTCAGTATGGATATCATTAACTCTAGCATTGTATAGCTTTGATTATTGTTGTTTTTAGCAATATCACATATTCTCATATTTACAGTGAAACTCTGATAACTCGTCACCTCAAGGGAAATAGCTCAAAGTACAGCATCTCATAAATATAAAGTACTGGAATAGCTGGGAAATTGAGTGAGTGATTAATTATGGGGGTTGACCAATTATGGTGGGTTAGCCAGGCACAGCGGTAGCACTCTCATCTCTAAGTCAGAAGGTTGTGGGTTCAAGCCCCACATCAGGACTTGGAATCACATAGTCTAATAAGCTGATGCTCCACTGCAGTACTGGGGTGGGCCTCATTGTTTGAGATGCCGTCCTTCACATGAGATGTTAAACCGAGGTCCCATCTGCCTGCTCAGGTGGATGTTAAAGATGTCATAACACTCTTCGAAGACAGAGTTTCTCTCTTCTGCGTCCTGGCCAACAATCCCCCAAATAAAATTGATCATTCACTTTGCGGCTGTTGGGACATTACTGTGCGCAACTGGCTGCCGGGTTTCACCCACAAAATACAGTCAAACCACTTTACAAAATTTCCTGTGAAGCGCTTTGAGACGTCTTGACAACGTGGATAAGGCTCTATGTGAATTGCAAGGATTATTATTATTATTAACAGTTCTCTTCCTCCCCTAACCCCATGTTTTGCTGCAGGTGGAGTGATCACCCAGAGTACCCCTTTAGGGAGGAGTACTGAAAGGGGTGACAGTGAGACGATCTGGGCTCCGTGACATCTCCTGTCTGATCGTCCACATGAGTGAAGCAGAGCTGTTGGTGGGGAAATGGAGTGAGAGTGAAGTGCGATAGGACCAGAAAAGATCGTTCCCCTCATATTCAGTGATACGTGACAACAATTGGTCACTGAGGCTACTCCCAAGATCAATGTCTTCCCAATCCCCCTCCCCTTCACTCACACGCCCCTTCACTCTCTCACACTTTCATACACTCACACATCCTTTCACATTCTCATACATGCATACAGCTCTTCACTTTCTCATACTCTCATACACTCACACATTCTTTCACTCTCTCACAGACTGTCTCACACTCACACATCCTTTCACTCGCACACTCTCTCACACTCATACACTCACACATCCTTTCACTCGCACACTCTCTCACACTCATACACTCACACATCCTTTCACTCGGACACACACATCTTTTCACTTTTTCTCACACGCACACATCCTTTCACTCTCACTCTGTCTCATTCTTTCTTATACTCTCTCTTACACAATCTAACTCCCTCCCATTCTCTTGGATCTCTCTCTCACGGTCTCTTACTCTCACTCTCTCTGTCTCTCTCACTACCCATGCCCTATTGTGTTAGTTAAAGGCATTTATGACGTTCAATGTGTTTTATTTTTCTCATAATTAAAATAAAACTTGTTTATTCAACATTTTGGCTTCATGTGAGCAGGTTGGTCACACTGTGAGTGGGGGGGTCACACTGAGTGGGGGATGTCACTGTGAGTGAGGGGAGAATCACACTTACTGGGGGGGTCACACTGTGAGTGGGGGGTTCATTGTGAGTGGGGAGGGGGTCACTGAGTGCGGGGGCGGATCATTGTGAGTCGGGGGGGTCAGACTGAGTGGGGGGATTTCAGACTGTGAATGGGGGGGGTTCAGACTGTGAGTGGGGAGTGGTCACACTGTGGGCAATTGACAAATTTTGCAAGGAATTGCAGAGGGTTGATTAGTGATGGTGTCAAGCGGTGTCAAAAAGGAGGATCTTAAGATGTGCCTTGAAGGAGGCAAGGGAGGGAATGAGGCTAAGGGACTGTGGATTAGAGTTCCAAAGGGTGAGGGCAGAGAGGCTGAAGGCTGGGTGGGGAAGCTGGAGCAGGACAGACCTCACTGAGCGGAGCGAGAGGACAAGTTGATGTGAGGTTAGAAGGTTACAGAGGTAGGAAGAAGCAAGTCCCCATGGAGGGCCTTGAAAGTGAGGCTGAGGATTTAGAACTCTATCCTTCGGAGGATGGGGAGCCAGTAGAACTGGGTAAGGAGGTGGTAGGGTCATGAAGCCTGGTGTGGGTGAGGACAGTTGCAGAGTTCTGGATGATCTGCAGCTTGTGGAGGGAAGAGTTGGGTAGGCAGACAAGCAGGGAGCCTATATGTGATGAATGCATGGATGAGAGTTTCGGCGGCTTGAGGGGTGAGGCAGTGGCAGAGATGGTTGATGTTGCGGAGGTGCGGGATGGCAGAGTGGATCGTGGTACAGATGAGCGTAGAATGGACAGTTGAAGGTCAAACAAGATGCCAAGGTTCTGGACTGGCTCAGTGAGTGTAAATAGTTGGGATTATAGTATAAGAATCATCAGTATTAATCATGTAGTAAATAGATGAATTAAGTAGAATGAATTAAAGAAATAAAAACTGCCATGTGACACACACACACACAGTCCTAGTAAAGAGGCACCAAGCGAGGAGTACACTGCAATGTGCACTGGTTGCTCTGTTGTCCACAATCCGCCATTTTAGCTCCCTGCGCTTACATGGGTGGTAGTCCCACTATGTTGAAATCTTTACTGTGATTAAATTTAGGGTCATGCCATTTATTGTTTTCCTCAAGTAAATTACTTCATTCCCCCTGCCCACCCACCGCATCTGCATTTATACAGCACCTTTTCACATCATGAACATGTCCCAAGGTGCTGGACAATGATATGGGGATTTCATCAGAGAGGTGGGGAGAGCAAGGGGGTGGAGGAGGCAAGATGACCGAAGGCGTGGTCGATAAGGAAGCTCTTGAGACAGGCCATGAAGGAGGCAAAGAAGGGGATGAGGCGGAGGTGCCCTGTGATGGACTACACAATATATAATAGTGTGGGTGGTCCAACCTTGTGACTCAGAGACTGAGTGTGACTGACTGACTTATAATGATAATATGATTATGGAATTCTCAGTTTGGCTTGGATGCTCTATAAGCAGCGTGGTCCAACAGGCGGCCCGTGGGTCACAACTGGCCTGGTAGTTGATCTTATCTGGCCCAAGATCATTTCCAACTTTGGGCCACCCACTACTTCCCTCCCTGGGGAATGTGCTCTCATGCCAGTGCATGAGCCGGGGGTTGGGAGAATGAGCAAGAGCAAGAGTGATTGAAGAAGGTGGAGTGAGAGTGATTGAGAGGGGGAGCGAGAGTGATTGAGAAGGGGAACGAGAGTGATTGAAAGAGGTGGAGCGAGAGTGATTGAAAGGGTGGGAGCGAGAGTGATTGAAAGGGGGAGCGAGAGTGATTGAAATTAGGGGAGCGAGAGTGATTGAAAGGGGGGGAGAGAGGGTGAGAGTGTGTTGGTGAGAGAGGGGGAGTAAGAGCGAGAGTGTGTGAGAGGGAGAGACAGTGTAAGACGGAGAGTGTGTGTGTGTGAGAGGGGGAGAGAGTGTGTGAGAGACAGAGAGGGGAGAGTTTGAGAGAGGACTGTGTGACAGAGGGGGGAGATGAATGAACGAGAGGGGGGACAGAGAAATTGTTTAAGAGAAAGGGAGAGGGCAGTGATTGAGAGAGGGCATAGAGATTGTGTGAGAGGGGAGAGGGGGAGTGAATAATAAAGAGAGGGAGATAAGAGTGTGTGAAAGAGTGTGAGGGTGGGGGAAATGATTGAGGGAAGGAGAGAGATAGTGTGTGAGAAGGGAGAGAGAATGTGTGGGCGAGTAATTGACAGTGTGCGTGTGAGAGGGGGAGAGTGTGTGTGAGAGGGAGCGGTTGTGAGAGGCAGAGAGCATGAGGAGTGGGGAAAGAGAAACAGACAGTGAGAGAGAACATAGAGAGATTGAGACAGAAGAAGTGAGGGTTCACTGTCAGGTCAGAAGATCGGAGACTACCTTGGCCGCCGTGAGGGGAAACCGAGAAACACCAAGCGACATGCTGTGCAATTTCCTCACAGCAAGCTCCCTCTTTCCCCAATGAGAAATTCCTCTACATCCTTCATAACCCCTCCCCACCCTACCTTTACAATCTACCAACCCGGCTGTTCCCTTTACCCACAATACACCGGCTTGCTTTATATCCCCCCACCCCATCTGCCTCACCATCGCCATTTCATCCTCGCTCTCTGGAGCTCCATTACCGGAGTCCCTCCGACTCCCTCCCTCACTCTCCCTTTCAAGGCACATCAAGACCTAACAGTTATCTTTCCCACTCCACATCCCACCTCCCTCGGGTCCCACCCCAGCTCAGGTGCGAGGCGACAGTGTTAGTGCTTTGAGACGTCCTTTCCATGTGATAAAGGCGCTGTGCAAATGCTGTGACGTTTCTGGAAGTGAAACATAAAATATTGCTAATGTGGCCCACGGCAACCAAAAGGTTGGACCACCCTGCTCTTAAGCACAGTGATGGGTTTCTGTCACGTGTCAGGTACCTGATCCAATAAAATTGTAAAGTGAATTGAACGTATATTTTGTGGGTGAAAAGTGGCAGCCAATTCCACGCAGCAGTGTCCCACAAGCAATAGTGGCTTGAACAACCACATTTTTGTAATGGATTCTTACCTCCAGAAAGCGATCCAATTGAAGAACAATCGGGTTCCTACTTACTGCGAGGTAAACAGAGGGGTGTGGAGTAAGGAAACTTGCCTAAGGTTTTGCCCCACCTGTAATCCAAACCTGGGTCCTATCGCTCGCTCGGAAAGACATCTCAAAGCACTCGAGACTGCAGGCTGGGCATCTGAGCTGGGGGTGGGAGTCGAGGGAGGTGGGAATTGTCAGATATGTCGGCATTGCAACAGCTAACTCAATAGGTCACAGAGATGCCATACAAATAGTTGACCAGATGGTTCAATGTAATCTTGGATATACCCATGCAAGGCTGACCAGAGGAATGTGTGCTAGTTAGTAAGAGGAAAGATAAAGATAACAAAGAAGGTTCATCGAAATACTCATTAGTGGAGTCATTGGAGTCCTGTAGCTCAGTGGTTAGAGCACTCACTTTGCAAGTGAGAGACCTGAGTTCAATCCCAGGCAGGGCGAAACCTTGGGCAAGTTTCCTTACTCCACACAGAGCCTAGTAATAATCCCTCCAAAAACCAAAAACAACAATAAAAATTGGTCATTTTCAATCTATGACTGTTTGTGGGACATTGCTGTGCACAATTGGATGCCGCGTTCGCCCACAAATATACAGTCAATTCACTTTACAGTGTGTTCTGTGAAGCACTTTGGGACGTTCTCCCGACATGAAAAGCGCTATATCAAATGCAAGGATTATTATTATTATTAGCTTGGTGTTCAGACATTGATAACATTGATAGTAGTCAAAATTGGTGATTTCTTGGTACCAGGAACCTTGTGATTAAGGAGATGAGATTATTTTGTTTTCAAAGTTCTGTAGTGGACAGAAATGGTGTATAAGAAGAGGTTCCAGCACTCGTTGAAAGCAGAACAGTCAGAGAATCCGACTGCAACCCTTAAAATTGTGTAGAACTGATCACCTAAACCTTTGTAATAAACCTTAATTTCAATACTTTGCATCTTGAGTATTCATCAGTTGTTCAACATCGAACCTGTAAACTCTTTGGAGGATGGTGAGTGGAAAACATGCTTGAAAGCACAGTCAAAGAGTTAATCTTGATGTGCCTTGAACAAGGGGAGGGAAGGAGCGAGTAGGAGGGACTCCAGGAATGGAACAACAGTGGGGCAAAATGGTGACGGTGGGTCAGATACGGTGGGGGGACATGAAGCAAGCTAGCGTTTGCTGGGCAAAGGGAACAGCCGGGTCAGGAGGTTGCAGAATGCGATGGTTCTCACTCCTTATTGTACTTGCAAATTTTAGTAATGCTTGTGTACTAAGTGGCCTCTGGTCTTTTCTAACCCTGTCGGTGTGAGTCCCTGCTCAAAGGTGTCTCAACCGAGTCACAATCAGTCACTCACAGGTATTCACAGTTAACTCCAGTAGCCGTTAAAGGATTGGGGTCTGTCCACACTGCTGGAACTCCAATGTCGACTCTTCAAGTGATTTACTCTTTTTCTTGAGTTAGAAATTTACATGGACTTGGGTATAGCAAGTACCATTTCCAAGTCTGTGAACGATACAGTTAGGAAGGGTGATAAACAGTGAGAAGGATAGCAGACAACTGCAGGAAGACATAGACAGAATGGTAAAATGGGCAGACACATGGCAGATGAGTTTCAATGTGGAGAAATGTGAGGTAATACATTTTGGTAGAAAGAATGAGGGGAGGCAATATAGGCTGGTAATACAATCTTAAGGGGGGGGGGGTGAAAGAACAGAGAGACCTGGGGGTTCAGGTAAATGAATCCTTGAAGGTGGCAGGACAGGTAGATAAAGCTGTAAAAAGGGCATATGGGATACTAGGCTTTATAAATAGGGGCATAGAGTACAAGAGTCAGGAGGTTATGATTAACCTGTATAAAACACTGGTTAGGCCTCTACATAAAAAAAATTATTTAAAGCGCTACTCAATATACTTAAAAAAAACAGATATAGAAAACAAAAGGGGTGACCGTGACACTATATAAATGCATATTCATATATAAATGCATGACATTTAAACACTGCATACTGTCCTAGCACCTTTTTCGACTGGAGTGGCTCACACTGATGTTGATGAGCTTTCTGTTGAACATGGGGCGGGAGTGGGAGCCCCTGGCTGATGTGACTGCTTTTGTTTCTCAGTCTAAGTCAGGAGCAGCGATGGAAGCAGTAAAAAAGGCCATTGATGTTGGGTACCATCATATTGACTGTGCATTTGTTTATGATAACGAGAATGAAGTGGGCGAAGGCATACATCAGAAGATTCAGGAAGGTGTTGTCAAGCGTGAGGACCTCTTTATCGTCAGTAAGGTAATACAAATGTCACTCCCCTGTACAAAACGGGTCAGA